TCCGGACAGGGTCCAGGGCCCGGGTCCTCGTGGGCCGGCCTGGGTCTCCGGGTCCGGCCCCGCTCAGGCTTGGGCCTCGGATCCCGACCCAGGGCAGGGTGAAGTCCCCGGGGCGTGCTGGGGTGGAAGATGGGAGGGCACCCTGCGGGGCAAGGGGTTTCGAGGACCACGTGGGGGCGCTCGAAGGGGCCTTGGGCCACCCACTATTGTGGGTCAAAGGTCATCGCACCAGCAGGGGAGAACTTCCTTCTGCTCCGCTCTCCCAGCTTACTTACTTCCTGATAACCTGATAGAGGCCCCCTGCGGGCACTGCAACTTTAGGCAACTTCCCGCAGGTGTGCGCCCGCTTGGGGGCTAGGGGGTGGGGGTGGGGGCGTCGGAGGAGGCGGAGGGCTCTGCGGCAGCCAGCGTGAAGAGTGAGTGTGGGTGCTGGGTGCTGGCAGTGGAGATGCACCCTCCAGGGCGGCCTGGGTTGAGCCAGCAGGGACAGGAGGGAGGTGGAGCGGCAGGTGCATGGGGCTCTGGTGCGTTTTCTCCGTAGTGGAGTCTGCCGGGTGGAGGTGTGGGGCACGGTAGGGGGTGTGTGAGAATGTGTGCCCAGGTGTCCATCCTCTAGGGAGAGTCTGGGGAAGAGTGCGTACACACAGTGTGAGCATCAGTGACCACTGGGGTGTGGAAAGGGTCCTGGGGGAAGGAGGGGGTGAGCAGGTGGGGACACCTGAGCGCCAGATGAGTGAAGAGGAGTGTGTCCCCTGGCCTCTGTGCCCCAGTACTCATACCCAGAGGGAGGAGAGACTATGGGGGGCCTGTCAAGCAGCTGAGGAAGATTGAGGGGAGTCCAACTTTGGAATTGGAGGTGGCCTAGGGTACCTCAGAGGCTCACTCCAGCAGGGAGTTCCCCAGTGGGGGACCGGCTGTCAGTTACTGGCTCTGGAGACTCTGTTTCCATGGCAACAGCTAGGGGCCCTCCTCCAGGCAGCCCTTCCTTGGACTCTGTCCCCTCTCCCCTCTCGCTTAGCCTGGTAGCCTGGCCCTGGGCCCAGGGTTGGGCAACCGAGTGGCAGGGTGTCTTTCTTCCCCAACCCCCATCCTCAGGCCTCCCTGGGACATGCCCGGTATCTCCCTGCAGGTGACCAGCGCCATGTCCAGCCAGGTGGTGGGCATCGAGCCTCTCTACATCAAGGCGGAACCAGCCAGCCCCGACAGCCCCAAGGGCTCCTCGGAGACCGAGCCTGAGCCCCCAGTGGCCCTAGCCCCGGGGCCAGCTCCCACCCGATGCCTCCCAGGCCACAAGGAAGAGGAGGATGGGGAGGGGGCTGGGCCTGGCGAGCAGGGGGGTGGGAAGCTGGTGCTCAGCTCCCTGCCCAAACGCCTTTGCCTGGTCTGTGGGGACGTGGCTTCCGGCTACCATTATGGCGTGGCGTCCTGTGAGGCTTGCAAAGCCTTCTTCAAGAGGACCATCCAGGGTGAGCCCCCACTTCACTCCTGTGCCCACTGCTGCCCTATACCCTCTGGGCCTTGGGCCACCCATGTGGTGCACTGTCAAGGTGCAGTAGCCCCCCGGATTGCTGCCAAGGGCCTGCTTGGGGTTGGCAAGCTAGAGTTCCCACAGAATCCCTTTCCTGAAAAGTGTGAATAAAGCCCACCAGGACTTGTCTCTGGATTAGGTGAGGGCATAGAGGGCCTTGAGGGTGCTGGCTAGGTCTCAGAGCCCAGAGGAGTTCAGAAAACCTCAGCCTGGGTTCAGCCACGGCCGCAACGGGCCCATTGTCGATCCTGACCCACTCTGTTCTTAAATGTCCCAAAGCAGCACCTACACCAGCACCAGACAGGAGGCTGACTGCAGCACACACTTCAGCATCCACCTTGAAAAAGGTTATGAGGCATTCCTGCTTTTAGAAGGCCCCCCCACCCCCAATTTCTCCCACCTGGGAAGACCCATCAAAAAAGACGGGTGGGAACAGGAAGCTGGTTCTTGGGAACGGGCCTGCATTTCTCTGTGTGGGCTTGAAATCACCGGTCCTTTTGGTGGGCGGCGTAAACCTTGAGAGTTTGTCCTTTTACTTTCGTGCGTGATCTCAACCTCCACAGGAACCCTTGTCAGCTATCAGCCCTGTTGCCCTCGTATTTTGCAGACCAGAGGGGTTCTTTTCTGGGGCAGAACGGCACTGTTCAGGTCATACCCCGAGAGAAAACGATGGACGCAGGGTCTGGCCGGTGGTTGATTGAGTTCCAGACCCCAGCAGGCTGCAGCCTCAGCTTATTACTAATAACTGACCTTCGGACAGACACCTCACGACTTGATTGTGACATTCCAGCAAGTTTTGACTTGGCTCAGAGCCAGTGGGCTAAAGCCCTATGTGCGCCCTCTGAAGACCAGAAGCTGACAGAGCTAGGTCCCGGTGTTTCCTCCCTGGCCCGTGACCCCTTGCTCTCTGTGCATTCCGGAGGCCAGGGCTTCTCAAAGCAGGGAGTGTGTAGTGGCCCCCGTACTCTAAGCAGTCTCCAGTACTAGCATCGCCCTGCCCCACAGCCCGCCTGTGTAATGTGACGATTATGGGGTTAGGCTGGGACTTGCCCAAGGTCACATAGGTGGCAGCCTCCAGAGGGCCGCCCCCGCTTCACAAACCTGTGCTCCACTGCCCTGGCCGCTGTCCCAGGGACACAGCTGGGGACCCCGGCCAGGCTGCGGCCCCTGGAGTGCTTTGTCCTGTAGCAGCGAGACGAGATGGGAAACAATGAATTGCACAAAGGGCTCTCTTACAGCCGGAGGGAGAGGCACAGACAGGTGTCTGCCCACATGACTGGCTGTGTCCAGGCTTTCTGAGGGGCTTCTTTAAAAAAAGGTCTGGAGCTGAGTGTGGAAGCCCCCCATGGGGTACAGGAGAGAGTGTCTTGTGGCTTTGTGTCATGGGGTCCCTGTGACCACCCACTGTGGCTGGGAGGGCCACCAGTAATCAGGAGTGCCTCTGATGGGCCAGGGGACACTAGAGACCTGAACTTACACCCCAGCCCTTTGGAGACCTGCATGTTGCTCTGACACTGAACAAGTTTCAGCAGTGCTTTCAGACGGACAGACTAGGAAGAAAGGCTTGGCAATCTCCCATTAAAACCCTCTGGATCTCAATGGTCCAGTCTGTAACCTGTCAGGGGAGTGATCCTGCTGTTTCCGCTAAGCATGGGGCTTACCCTGAGTCCAGGCCTGGCTTTGACAGCAGCCCACAGCCCATGGCAACTATGGCCAGCCAGGCCTTGTCCTTAGCAGCAGGCACAATCTTGGCCTTCTCAGCACCGACCCTAAAGTCGAGAGATAGGTAACAAAGAAGATAAGCCCAGTTACCTAGTCCAGGTGCTGAGAGCAGAAGAGAAGACTGTCAGGCTAGGTAGAGGGCAGGAAGTATCCTCAGAAGGGGTCTGCCGTTCTTACAGGGTGACCAGGGGAGCCTCCCCAGGGGACAGCTGCAAAGACCTGAGAGGCACAAAGAGCAAGTGTTAGCAGGCACTGAAGCCAGAGGGACAAACCTGCCCCGAGGCAGGGTCTCTGTGAGATAAGGTCGGAAAGGTGCCCAGGGCAGAGGGCCATTAGTGGCAGGCACAGGGTCTGACAAGGGTTGGAAAGGCCCCCTTGGGCTGCTGCCTTGAGTCCCATTAAGATGGTAAGGGGATAGTGCCTTAATGGGTGGGCACCCATTAAGATGTGGTGGTGCCCACCAGGACCTATGGCTGGCATGGCCTCAGGTTGTGAGAGGTCTGGAGGCTGCTACAGCCTCTGTTTCTGGTTTGAGCAATCTGACAGGTGGAGGGACTGCCTTGGGGAAGGACCAGGAGTCCTACTTAGGACATGTTGGCTTGGAGGTACTTCGTAGGCTTCCCTAATATTGAGGAGGCAGTTGCATTGGAATCTAGAACTCAGGACAGGTCTAGGGTCATTCTCCTGCATGGTGACTTAGAGGACAGAGGGAGGCTGGTCTTTGTTGGTTCCAAGACTTGGAAGCCTCATCTTTCTTCCGAAGAGTAGTTTCACACTGCTGAGCTTTGGTTAACAATTCAACGCATAACCCTTGGTGCCACCAGGGCTCTTGGCCCAGGCTAGAGAGAGAAGTAGGAAAGCCCATGACTTTTCCATCAGCATGGGAGGGGATAGAGATGAGATCCAGGGACGGAGCCCTGGGGTCTTGGGCTGGAAGCCACTCAGGATGTGCACGGAGGCCGCAGAGGGGGAGGACCAGGCAAGTAGGGTGTTTGTTCTAGAAGCAGAAGGACCTGTGGAAGGTCTTCCAGGAGTCAGAAGTGATCGGTGGCAGTAGGTCGTCTGCTGGGCCAAGATGAGGGGGTGACTTGGACTAACGCGGAGGTGGGCACAGGGCTCTGGATAGCAGATGGGGGCCAAGTGGCCCAGAGCCGCAGCTCCGGGCAGCTCTGGGCAGAGGTGCAGGCAGAGGCCCCCAGCCCAGCAGGCTCTGCACCCTCACACAGCTCCCGCTCTCCCTTTCCTCCCCACGTCCCCAGACCTGTGCTTGCCCGGGGCCGGTCAGGGGTCTCCTGTCCTCTGGGCCCGGGGAGGCTGCCACTGGAGCACTGCCTCTTCCTGGCAGGGAGCATCGAGTACAGTTGTCCGGCTTCCAACGAGTGCGAGATCACCAAGAGGAGACGCAAGGCTTGCCAGGCCTGCCGCTTCACCAAGTGCCTGCGGGTGGGCATGCTCAAGGAGGGTGAGCGCCTGCGAGGAAGCAGGAGGGAGCTGGCCAGGCAGGCATCTGCAGGGCAGCCCTGCCGACATGGTCCCTTCCTGCGATTTCAAGGGGTGCGTCTGGACCGTGTCCGGGGCGGACGACAGAAATACAAGCGGCGGCCAGAGGTGGACCCGCTGCCTTTCTCGGGCCCCTTTCCCACCGGTCCCCTGGCAGTCGCCGGGGGGCCCCGGAAGACCGGTAAGACCTCCAGGGCTGCCTGGAGCTGAGGGGCTGGGGTGCCAGAGGCCCTAGATTCCTTAAGAACTTGTGTATGAAAATACGGTTCCTGGCTCATGCTGGGAACTGGACCGTTGTCCTAACAACACTGGTCAGTGATGACCAGGGAAGCCCACGGGCGATGGGTAACCCCCAGGGGCCAGTGAGGCCTGGCGAATTCCAGGCTTGAGTCATCCCACTGGTCCTGCAGCTCCTGTGAACGCCCTGGTCTCTCACTTGCTGGTGGTCGAACCAGAGAAGCTCTATGCCATGCCAGACCCAGCGGGCCCTGATGGACACCTGCCGGCCGTGGCCACCCTCTGTGACCTCTTTGACCGAGAGATCGTGGTCACTATCAGCTGGGCCAAGAGCATCCCAGGTAAAGAGCCCCGCAGTCAGGGCACCCTGGGTCGGCCGGGCCATGCCTGCCACTGCACCCTTGCTCAGCGAAACTGGCCCCCCACTCTCCAGGCTTCTCGTCGCTGTCACTGTCCGACCAGATGTCCGTGCTGCAGAGTGTGTGGATGGAGGTGCTCGTGCTGGGGGTGGCCCAGCGCTCGCTGCCCCTGCAGGATGAGCTGGCCTTCGCCGAGGACCTGGTCCTGGATGAAGAGGGGGCACGGGCAGCTGGCTTGGGGGAGCTGGGGGCTGCCCTGCTGCAACTGGTGCGGCGACTACAGGCTCTGCGACTTGAGCGTGAGGAATACGTCCTGCTGAAGGCCCTGGCCCTGGCCAACTCAGGTGAGCTGGACCCGGTGCTGGTGGACTCTATTTAGAAGTGGACTAGGCCCTTTTGCAGAAGGAGAAAACTCGGCCTCACAGGGAAGACTTGCTGAAGGTCACACAGCAAGCCAAGGGCAGGGCCAGAACTATGTATATGCACAGGCGTTTTGAGCCCTAGAGCTGTGTTCATGGGGATAGGCGGTGGGGAGGACAAGAGCCAGGGGTGGGGTGGTGGTGGGGTGTGTGTGTTGGGTCCTGGCTCAGGCAGAAGTCACCCTGGAGTAGAAGGCTCAGCCCTTTCTGGAGGTGGTGCGGGGCAAACTCTCTCCCTGCTCTCTGCAGACTCAGTGCACATCGAGGACGCTGAGGCCGTGGAGCAGCTGCGGGAAGCTCTACACGAGGCGCTGCTGGAGTATGAGGCCAGCCGGGCAGGCCCTGGAGGTGGTGCTGAGCGGCGACGGGCGGGCAGGTTGCTGCTCACACTCCCGCTCCTGCGCCAGACAGCGGGCAAGGTGCTGGCCCACTTCTACGGGGTGAAGCTGGAAGGCAAGGTGCCCATGCACAAGCTCTTCTTGGAGATGCTCGAGGCCATGATGGACTGAGGCAGGGGGTGGGCACAGGTGGGGTGCTGGCAGGACCCGCCAGCAGGGGTCAGCCCCACGGTGGGGAGGGGGGCCAGTGCTGCAGCCTGCTGGCAGGGCCAGGGCAGTGCCATCTGCCCCTGGGAGCATGCCCGTGCCTCCCCTCCCTGGGGATTGTCAGGAGTTGGGAAGGTGCATGCCCAGGCTCTGGGCACAGTGCTGCCCCTTGCAAGCCATAATGTGCCCCTAGAGCATAGGGGGCCTTGCGGAAGCCATAGGGGGCTGCAGGGGGGCGTGAGTGAGGGTGGGCAGAAGCCTGATCCTCAGCCATGGAAGCTTTTGCTGCTGCTTAATCCGACCCTCCCCCTCGGGAGTAGAGGGGGACTTGAAGAGCAAAGGCCCTGCCCCCTTTGCTCCTCTCCTCATTTGCAGTGGGCATTAGTGCCCCCCTCCCCCATGAAGCAATAACTCCGAGCAGGCTCCTACCCTTGGGCCCCCTGGGGTGGCCAGAGCCCCCTATCAGCCCCCACCCAGCCTCCGTGGGGTGGTAGGGAGGGCACTGCCTCTATGCCCTGCAGAGCAATAACACTATATTTATTTTTGGGTTTGGCCAGGGAGGCACAGGGACTTAGGCAAGCCGGGGCCCAGAGCCTTTGGCTGTACAGAGACTCTATTTTAATGTATATTTGCTGCAAAAGAGAAACCGCTTTTGGTTTTGAACCTTTAATGAGAAAAAAATATATATGCTGTCAAGCTCAAGGACACTCATGTTGCGCGTGTCACTGGGTCGAGGGTCGTGGATGCAAACGACAGGCAGGCAGCCAACATACAAGGGGCACGGCAGAGCTACAAGGTCACAGAATGGAATCGGTGGCTGGCCGGCTTAAGTCTCCGTTTCCTCATCGTTCAACAGCATGTTGGGGATTCCGCGGCTGATGGGGAAGAGCCTTCCGGACTCGGGGCACTGCAGGGTGCCCTCTAACACGTCCACCTGTGGGGAGGAGGGCAGGGCTGAGCAATGGCGGCCTGGGGCCGGGGAAGCAGGGGACGCCCCTCCCGGTCTCACCTCCAGCAGCACGTGGTGCATCTTCCTCAGGAATTCTTCATCCCGCTCGTATCCCTCCGCCGGCGCGCTGGGGACCTCGGTCAGATGCAACTGCGGACGGGAAGCCGAAATCATCTCCGGGGCCTTCCCGACCCACCCCCTCGGGCCGGGGCTCGGTCCCCGGGACAGCGGGGAGACCCCCGCAGGGCGTGCGGGTGGGGAGCGGGTGCTCACGGTTTCGGCCGCCTCCAGAAGCGCCGACCACTCCACCTTGGGGATCATGCGCGCCACGAAGTCGGGATTGAACTCCACGGGGTTGACGCGGACCTCGGAAGCCTGTGGGGCGGGGCGGGGAGTTAAAGAGGGGCGGGATGCCCACCCTGCACCCCGCCAGGGCCGGGGCTCCGGGCGCCCGGGCGGGTACCTGCAGCCGCAGCGGGAAGCCGCGGGGCCCCACGCCCCGCACGTGGGAACTCAGCAGGTTGTGGGTGAGCAGCTTCATGTTGCTAGTATGCACGCCAGCTGACCGGACCCGGAAGGAGGCGGCTCCGTGGCTGGCGTCACTTCCGGGGCGGATCCACCTTCGCCCCAAGGCCTGGCCGTTGGACCGGAAGTGGCGCGCTTGTGGGCAGCGCTCCTGCCCGCCCTAGCAGAGGGCCCTGGGAAACCCGAACGCATCACGCGCCGCCACCGGAAGCGGCCGGGCGCAGGTGGTTGGTGCCGGGCCCGGCTTCCTCCCGCTCCCGGGGTGCACGTCACATGAGACTGCTGCAATGCAGGGGAGCGCCGTGCGGTCTCCTCCCGCACAGGCGCCTGGCTAGTCGCTGACGCTCTCCCCCTCGCTGAATGGCGGGAATGAAGGTCCACGGGGCACCGAGGCCCGGCCCGGCGCTGCGGGACCTTCCCTCGTATGCAAATAGGCTGCGGCAGGGCCCAGAGCTCCGCCCCGTGGTCGAGTCGTGGGCCCGCCCATATGCAAATAGGCTGGGTCTCCGGACGGCAGGC